AGATAGATAGATAGATAGATAGATAGATAGATAGATAGATAGATAGATAGATAGATAGATAGAGGCAAAGCTTTTATTGGGTTCCAGGGTGTTATCCATGGGGTTTCCCACAGAGATTTCTAATTGGTAAGTTCAGGGAAAGCCAACAGGAGTCCTGGTGTGACTAAGAAGGGATCACTGGAGCTTGTCTCAGCAGTCCATTTGGGATATAGAGGTCCACTGTCCACAGGAAGGTGGTCACCAAAAGGCAGTTCTATAAGGTAAGTATCTGTACAAAACACACTGAGGAGCTAAGAGGAGCTGGAAAACAGGTCTGGCTGACGAATCTTTTTCTTGAGTGACAAAATTCTCTTTAGTATAGACATTGAGGCAAGAATTCCTTACACAGGAAACCCAGATTTTCTGATTTTTAAGGCTGTGTCCTACTGCATCGACAAGGCTGACCTCTAAAGATCTTCTGCCTCCTTCTGCCAAGCAGCTAGCATTATAGGCTGTCTCCACCAGTTCCTGTAGAAACTCAAACATTTATATACAGCTCAACCACTGCAATTATTGCTACTATTTCATCACAGTACTGTTCATTCATGTTGCTGTTTAATTGTTTCATTTTTATATTGGTTCATTTAAAATATGGTATTATTCAGAGAACTTGACAGTGCTACTTAGCATAATGAAACCTCAGACAATACATGTGATTGCTTTGGACAAAAATAACCATAAACTGCTAGGATTATACACAAAAAGAGGGACTTTCCATTCTTCTAATGGCCATAGGGCAGTTGGAAAAAAGTGTCTTTGTCTTTATTTAGAACAGATATGCTAGTCTGAGGAAAACTTCATTCTTTGTATTTGGTTTTAGCTGACAGTGGAAGCCAGGCCTTTCATACAAAGTACAGACTTTACCACTGAGCTATATCTGGGTCCTAAATGTTAATTCGTGCATGAATACGAGCAGAACCATTACAACCTGTCAAAAATGACAAATAATAGAGAATTGTCAAATATCAGAAACTTATTAATTCCTATCAAACAGACATGCTTTGGATCCCAGCTTGAATATTGCTTTATTTTGACACATCACTGAAACATTTAAATGCTATCCTTCCATTGCTTCATTTACAGAGTAGCTAAGATTTATTTGCCTCATGAACTTTCTAAGTTGATTACTTATAACGAAATTTAAGAGTTTTTGTACCTTTATGGTATGGAATAGATAAGTATGTGAACACGAGGACACAGTGAATAGTATGCTCTACTACTTATCCACTTCCTTTTTAATCTTTTCCAGCTATGAAGACATCTTATTTTATTTAATGGCTATGAAGTTGACAATATTTTTGTGAGTTTTATAAATAAGGAAACTGAGGTTATGTTACATGCCAAATCCCACAGCTATAAGCCCAGGGAGGTATAATTCAAATCCCAATATATATGATCCCAAAGCTCTTATAATTATTAAATACTTGTTTTAATATTGTAATTATTGTTTTTCATGGGCTTTGATAACTATTAAGGCACTTGATGAAATTTAATTTCCTCTGGTTGTTTTCTTATTTTTCCTGTTTTATTTTTATTTATTTTCAATTATCTTTAAGCAGTTGTACAAAGGGTTTCCATTCTACATGTCCTTTCCTTACTGTTCAGTAAAAGAGCCAACTGTAAGACAGTGCATCTTGGTGTTGAAATAGCATAAGTAGAAAAGCAAAGGCATTTAGAGCACTAGAACCAGTAATCTCCTATCATAAATTCAAATTTTTACCATCTTCATATAGGGTTAGAACCTTTGCCTCCAAACAACTTGTCACTACTAGTTCTGTCCACCCTTGATCTTTTCCTAACAGTCATCACTCACTATATCCAGGTTCACTTATTACAGCTCCACTGTATCTCAGGTTTTTTAAACACGCACACACACACACACACACACATATAATTCTGTATCACAGAATTTTTGCTATGTTGCAGGATTTTGTGGTATGTAGGTATTTATATAATAGTTAGTATTTTAATTATTTTTCCCTAAAAACTTTAAAAGGAAATAAAAATATAAAAATGTTAACTCAAACATGTTAAAAGAATATTATATTGAAATAAGATACAGTATGTATTTTATTAGCACATGAATTCCATACTGTACACAATGGAAATGCAGTATGCCACCCCTGCTTGCACCAGTTTGCCAACGTGAGATTATACACGGCACACTATTGGCTGATGGAATGAAACGCGACCAACCACAGCACTGTGTTCTGTATCCTGGGCACTGATTGGCTCAGTGCCTGTAGCATTGGTCTGTTTGCTCTCCTGCACTGTGCCCACAGGTTCAGCATCTCTCCTTGTCCACTTGACATCGACATCTGATGGGGGTGCTTAGTGTTGCTCTCTGGTGGTGTATTTTTGTGAAATTTTCTTAGAAGTTTGAATTTATTTCAAGCCCAGGATGCCAGGGAAATGTTCTGTACCTTCTAAGACTTCTGGCAATGAAACCAAGCACCAGAGGAAGATGCTTGCCATCAAAATAAATAAGTAAACAAAAAGGTGGTACTTCTTGATATGCTAAAGGAAGGCAAAAGCTATTACAAAATCAAGGAATCTACTGTTCTCTACATAAAGATGAGAAGGATATTAGGTCTATGGCAACGATGACTTTTAACAAGACTGCAAAGAGAGTGATCACTTCCCTCAATAAGTCCATTGTGAGGATGGACTCCACATTAACCCTGTGGATAAATGACTGCAGAAAGAAGAATATCCCTCTGGATACCAACACCACTTGGAGGAAGGCCAAGAAACTATAATTTTGCAGAAAGCATGGATATTCACGATGGTGACAGGGATGAAGACAAGGACAACGATGGAGAAGCAGGACCACTGAGTGCTTCTCCCACCAAAGCAACCCCATTCAGTGCCAGCAAGGGCTGGTTTGACAAATTTCAAAGACTCTTTGGACTCAAGAGCATTTCTTTGCATGGAGAAACTGCCTCTGTGGATAAAGCCAGAGCAGAAGAGTACATGAATGACATGTACAAATCCATCATCAAGGAAGAGGCTATAAGCTGAACACGTTTTTAACATGGATGAGATGAAGTCAGCAGTGAAGAAGAGGATGAGGAACAAGACAAACCACTGGTTGGAGAAGAGAAAGAGGTTGGCCTAACACTGGATCATTTTGCAACCATGTTTAGAATAGCCAAAGAACTGTCTTGCCTAGACAGTTTGACCTTCACAAGTTCCATTTTTCAGTCCTCCAAACTCTTTAACCCTCTCCTGGCCTCACTGCTCTGCCTCAGAGCCTTATAGGCTAGGCTCACA